AAGCGGCTGCAGCAGGTGCGATGAATGCGCTGGCATGCAGAGAGTAATAATATTATTCTCCTTGCAAATCTCTTTAAATTCAAGCGAGCGGTGGCTCTCGTGGCCATTAATAATTAGCAGCCGATGCGTGCCTATAGTGCGATCCTTTGTATGCTTATTAAAATGCAGCAGCCAGGCAATACCAAGCTCATTCGTCGTCCAGCTATTATCGCTTACTGCTATAACCCAGTCTAGTAGTATATTATTGCCCTCGTACCATGCAGAGAGGTGGTACTTACCCGAAAAGATGATGAATGGCGGGATAGCCCATCCACAGGCATTGACTCCTTGGATTATCGTCGTCCATTCGCGATCGCCTGGCTGTATTAATTTTGGACAATTGCACCGCTCAGAGCCTGTTACAACCACGCCAGTTAAGATAACGCCTATTTGGAAGCCAGCTTTATTAAAGTTGTGTATATCTTCATCCAGGATGCTATACTTTGCTTTTGTATTGCGTACAAGCTTAAACCAATCGCCAATTGCCTTTGGATCCTCGCATAAAGCTCTCTAACGATCGTACTTTCAATTAAATTGTGTTTTGAGCTTAGGTGTTCGCTTGACAAAGTTCTCTGGCCAGTTCTTGCCAACGTGGCCGGCGGCGCGCTCGGCGAGCAATTTGTTGGCCATCTCTCGTACAGCATGCAGGTTGGGCGGAAATCCTCGCGAATCCAGGTCGAGTATATGTTGAACAACAACTGATTCCTCCAGCTTGGAAAGCTTCTTCGAATTAGGCTCAGAATCGCGTCGTGGGGTCGTTCCAGCGCGTCGATCTCGAAGTGTGCTTCTGGGTACGTTATATGTCGTAATAGCGCGCCGTTCGCTTTTAAATTGCTGCTGATTGATTGCTGCGATAGCCATGCATATTCGACCTTCATTTTGTATTGATTGCACGTTGTGTTGTCGACGCATGGTGGTTGGAAGTTGACGCGTCGCGTTTTTGTGATGAAGTGGACGGCTCGCTTGGGTGGACGGCTCGCTTGTGGAATACGTTACATATTTTCTGATAAGACTGTCTTAGACCAGGTAGTTGTTTTCGTTCTAGTAACTCTTCACTAGTCTCTAATCGTTCACCCTTCGTATTTAGCTCCTGTGAATTCAAGCGATCTGCATTTAGCGTTCCTGTTCAATCTTTACCTTCAATCTCAATCGAACCACGCTGCCAATAAGCTTCTACGTCAACAAACGCATTCCATTATCAACCTTGCTCTGCTCAATACACCACAACACCAACGGGCCTCGACCCGCAATCCGAGTGACTTAGCTATCTCTATGTCGGCTCGATCAAACGACCCCGTCTACTAGGCTGGAGAACGAGTTCTTGCAGGCGACTTTCAGGGCTTCAGACTGCTAAAATATTTAAGAAAGTTGACCAAGTCCTTTAGGAGTAATCTTAATAGGCCTTACTTTGTGTATAGCTTGATTCCGGAAATAAATATAAAGACATTGTCACTCGATGTGCCAATACTCCTGACTGCGCTCCAACGGACGAGAAGAAAGGGTTCATCACTGCTCATGGAAGACTTAAGCTTCATCAACACACGATAAGCTCGAAGCAGTCAAATGAGCCTAGAACTCACCTCATAGAATTCATCCAGTTCCGTGTGAAGCGGTTTCAGACGAACGTCAAGCTCGCTCGTATTTACTTTCCCGACTGGTCATCCGGGGTTCTAGGTGCCGAAGGGGTTGGCATGAAGGATTCGCTTTTGGTACTACCCAGTATGCTTCAACATCAGGCGAACGAAATATCGCCTTCTTACGTACCCAAGGAGCGACCACCGAGATTGAGGCCGTGAGTGCCCCATACCTTGTATCTCGCGACGGAACTTTTGATGAACACCAGGGAACCAACTACGATGGAAGGTGTCCAGTTGGTTTCGAAGACTACGGAGATTTCATCCGCACCGTGAAGCTGACAGAATGCGGCCATATCTTCTGCGAGTCGAGCTTGACGAAACAGTTCGATCTTTCGGCGCAACGGTCTCGTAGATGTGGTCAGTGTCGAGTTGTCTTGCTCCCATGCCACCGATATCAGCTGGTCACACTAGTGCAGGCCACGATGGTTCATGTTACCGGAGGAAGTGTCTGGATACGGGTCTACGGTACCCTCTAGTACAAACGAAGAAGCCTCTATTAGACCTCAATAATGAGATGAATAACATTTTCCCCTTCTATAGAATATCTGCTGTCCTAGGACAAGATAGTCTTAAAATATGGCAGGCAGGAAAGACGAAGATAGGCTATAGGTGCTTGGCTTATTCTAAAGTAGACCCTTAGTAACCTTAAACTTTTGAGGTTGCTGAAGGCCACGACATCAAGCGATTCCTCAACCGCCCCTAGGTTGATGAAGCCGAAGAGCTTACGGCTGATACGCCACTACTCGCCATGCTATACTCGCCGAAACTAGATTGAGACGGGAATAAGCCCAAGTTTCATTTTGCTCTCTTCGACACCTCTGAAATTGTCGGATAAGAGAGCGACCGGTATTCAGCCTTCTATTCTGCCAGAGGTTGTACCAACAGATGACTTCTTCGTGGTAATCCTGAAACGGCTCTAAGACTTTTCAAAGCCCGATACGTCACACTTGCGAAAAGGGCTTGCGATCCCAGCGGCTCCGCCAAGCTCAAGGACGTTTCGAATCGAGAATGTGGGGTGTCTCCTAAGGAGGTTCTGTCACATACCCCACAAGGCACCTTAAGTAAGGTCACACATGGCTCTTCCACGCTCTTGCATACAGCTAGACTGGTCTTATGCGAATGTGGGGTTTTAACCTGAGTGAGCTGCGCTCCAGTTTGGCATTGACACAGATTGCAATCGCAGTACGAATGTGAGAGAAAGGCAACTTGCCGGGCAATGTCCAATCAACCGCGTCAAGGAACACCTAGGAGCACCCAATGAGAGCTCGACGTCTTGAATTCTAGCTCTTCTCATCTTAATTCTACAACAGATACATACAGTATCACGTAGCTTATCAATTCTAGGGGTCTAGATTCTGGAAACATCTAGCTGGAAATCGCTTCTTTGTGGTGCAAGATGCGCATTCCACTGCATTTCTACATTGTGTACAGTAGTGGACGGTAGGAAGAACGGTCGAGTGGGGTAGTCGTATTGAGATCACCAAGGTTGTAGCCAAGACCCCACAAATTGGTAAAGGCAAAACGATATTACGTTTTGACTTACGAAATATATAAAGACTCTGTATAATGTGGCTACTAGGCGACCGAAATCTTTGCCATTAGAAAGACGTTATAAGGACTGAATATAAAGCGGCTACTGTCAAGCTTACAACGCAACATCGCCCAAGCCACCAACAACTTCATAGTCTCGGTGTAAATATGACCGTTTGGACCCGACCTTCGGCTCCTCCATCTGCCAGCCATTGCGAGTATGAGCGCCTTCGTCGGTCATACATCAACGCGGATATAAGAGAAGCATATCCAAGAGAGATCCATCTTGTTAACTCCACATTTGAAGTTCAAAACGCTATTAGAAGCGCAGTCAACTCCAACAGCAAGATTGGCGTCCGGTCAGGAGGGCATACGTTCTCAAATCCATCGTTGATACACGATGGCATTCTCGTCGACACCACAAAATTACACTGCAAAGTGGAATACGATCCAGTCACACATTATATCTGCTATGGCCCTGCTGTGCGCGTGGCAGAAGCTTCGGAATTGTTACAAAAGCTAGGACGATTCTTTCCTCATGGCCATGCTCCAACGGTAGCCTTGGGAGGTTTTACTCTTGCAGGAGGGCAAGGCATGTTCATGCCTACTTGGGGCCCAACAGTCGGCGACTGGATTGTCAGAATGGAGATTGTTACACCTGATGGCAAAGTCAAGACAGCAAGCATGACGGAAAATGCAGACCTCTTTTGGGCGGCTCGCGGCTCTGGCCAGGCCTTCTTTGGTGTTGTGACTAGGATCTGGGCGCGTACCATCCCGTCCCGACGCATGTTCATGAGAATGATCCTCTTTGAAGACAAAGACAATATCGAGAATCTTCTGCAATGGGCTCTGGAAACCAGCCGCATCATACCAAGATGGGGTACCGAGACAGCCATGACCACGGGCTATTCAGAGATGCATTCGCCTACGCACAAAACCGACAGCATTCCATCGCCCCCAACGCTGCACTTTGGAGTCTGCTCCACTGCATATGTGGATACTTTGGAAGAGGCAAGATCACTCTTGAGTGCTTGGGATCGTATTCCAGCCCCCTTACACGGATCAATCATCGATGCGGGATCCGTTGCCGAAATGTCGTGGGCAGCGTACTTCGAGCTCCAGGAGCTGGTGACACCGTCAGGGCCCCGGAACAATTGGCAAATTAACAGCTTCCTTAACGATCCAGAAGTGCCTCTGGAGCGACTCGTCAAAGCAGTCAAACCGGCGATGACCGAACTTCCCACACGAACATCACTCGGTTGCATATACTGTTGCCACAGTTATCCCGATGACAATGACCACCTCTGCGCCCTGCCACAGCAGTACTACATATCCACCTTCACGCACTGGAAGGAAAAGTCCTTGGAGCCCAAGATATACGAGCCGATGGCGGACATATATGCAAAATTGTACCCACTGGGTGTCGGGATGTATATTGCGGACTACAATCCATTCGATGAGAGGCAGGCGAACGTAAGTTCCAGATGTTTTAAATGATACGTAGCTATATACTCACTAGACGTTTCCAATTATAGGTCAAAGTGTGGACTGATAAAGGTCTGCAGCGATTCATGGAGATTCGCGCAAAATATGATCCACAGGAACTCTTTCCTGGTTTCATTCCATTTGTGCGCAGGGTTAAGCAGGTCGGAATAAAATTGTAAAGCTTTATTTAACTAGAGAGAATCTGAGGTATTGTGGTTGCAGTGTCTGAGCTATGAGCACATTAGTATATTGTCGTACAATCTTGTTGAGTTTAATCGCATAACTATAACCCCAAGCATTAACCAATATCCCAACAAACTGCATGGAGTATATCAAACGGCCATTAGCACCCGACCTTCACAGGCTCTGATTGTCGTGTTCATATCGCGATGATAAGAAAACCACAAAGTCGTGATGTGCCGTAGCTTCGATGGGTCGACAAAGTCGACATCGAAGTAGTAAAGCAGCTAAGCCGGAAACCTATGTACCTCAACTAGCGTCATGGGCTAGTCCACCAAGCATATAATCAATTGTGCGTAATCGGGAGAGCAGTCACTCGGCAAGGCGATGTTACGGCCAATGTAGGTGCGCGGATCGGAGCCTCCGAACGTGATGTTGTTAACATTGAGATAATTTGCCCTGTTGAAAGATTCAAGCCAACGTGCTGGCTTGAACTCATCACGACTTCGCCCCAAATCTGCTTGTCCAGATTCTGGGCGATTGAAAGTACTCCCGTCCGAGTCCGTTCGGGTGTAGCTTTTCGGTCCACCACCAGCCCTGGGACGGCATGTCTTAGTAGTTTTCTGGCCTCCTTCGCTACTACAACAAGATGGTGTATTTTCTGGGTCTGGTTATAGCGAACCGATTCCTGTAGATTGTGCGGCTCCGCGAAGTCATCAATTCCCTCCTGCAACTTCGATATACGGCTGGATGCTGGCAGATATGGTGGAGACAGGCTGTCATGGCAATCGATGTGTTGTCGGCACTAGCGCTAACGACTGGAAGGTTCAAACATCAGAACAGCTCCTGAAGCGAACGCTTTGTCTACTTACATGGTATTCATTGCCTCAATCAGCATCTCACCAAACTCAGCCGGTTCCCCGTTAGCCTTCCGCATTTTCATAAAGTGTGATAGCAAGTCTGCCCAGTCAACTGGATTCTCCACGTTCATCATCGCTTCAACTTTCAAGACGCTCCACTTCCGAAAGTCTTCAAAAATATCAGCTTGCCCAAGCAGTGTACGCAGCTTTCGCATGATTACGTTGTTGAATGGGATTGCCCTGGAACATGACCTGATCCAGAGATGGTCCAGAACCATCGTAGTTTGCCTTACGTACTGGCATGGTATTGGTTTCTATCTCCAGATGACTTAGTGTAGCCCGTGTCTCAGCTCCGCGACAAAGTCAAATGCGAGAGCTTTCACCGTGCACGCTGGAAACGCACGCTGTACTGCTCCACACCCCATGGGGTGAAGGGAGAAGATGCCTGCTGTTGCTTCTCCCGCGGACCAGTCGAAGGCGAAGGCGAACCGGCCATGCGGGGAAAACAACAGTACGAATTAGGTCTAGTCGAAACGCGCTCCACATGTGGGGTAAGCTACGAGCTACGCTACCCCACATTCGCCCTCTCCTCGACCTTGGGAACTGTTGGACTGGCGGTTGGAGTCAGCTGACTAGTGCGACAACCCCTTTTTAGCTTGTGGACATGAAGCCTTTCCCAAGCCTAAGAGAAAATAGCACCTCCGCGATGTATACGGCCATCTTTGCAGTTGGCACGGCGCTCCTTACGCTGTTATATGCCTTTGGCACTCGGCGTCGTCTGCCAAAAGGCTACCAAGCTGTTCCGGGGCCGAAAGGCTTACCTCTCATCGGCCACACAACTCTGCTGGGTGCCGAACCTCAGGCTCAGCTCAAAGCATGGGCAAAGGAATATGGCCCTGTTTTCAAGCTTCGCCTGGGCTGGGAGGACTGGATCTTTGTCACCGAGCCCGGCGCAATCAGGGAAATCTTCGACAAACAGTCAAGAGTGACATCTGGTCGCGCTCCTATGCCTGTCATCTCTGACCTTTTGTCTGGTGGCAAGCGATTCTTGTTGCAGACGTACACTCCCGAATGGCGGAAGCTGAGAACTATCGTGCACAAGCTGCTCACGCCCAAATCATCGTCTACCTTCAAGCCTAGCCAAGAATTTGAAACCAAACAACTTCTGCACGACATATACACCAGCTCTAAGGCAGAGGACCAAGGGAGTTTCTACATGCATGTTAGGAGGTATACGACTTCAGTAATCATGACATCCACTTACGGGCGGCGGATCTCCGAATGGGTGAGTTAGACCTCTTGGCAGTCAATGGCACAAAGCGAGCTGACACGATTCAAGAAATGCGAAGACGTAGAAGAGATTTACGGCCTCATGAAGGACTTCTCGGATGCGGCAGTTCCAGGTGCATACATTGCGGACGTTGTGCCACCATTAGCAAAGCTACCATCTTGGATGCAGTGGTGGAGAAGATCTGCTCTGAAGGCGTACGAAAGGCAAGCTTCAATATGGCTGAAGTACTGGAATCGGCTCCGCGCCCAGACCAAGACGAAGACTGCTCCGGAATGCTTCGCGAAGCAGCTCGTCGAAGATGTTGACCAGAGAGACGATATTGACGAAGTGACGGCAGCATTTGTGGCAGGCAGTAAGTGCGCCAAGCTCCAAGTGGCATATAGGCTTCCGGCTTAACATATAAATCTAGCGATGATTGAAGCTGGATCGGAGACCACAAGTTCATCATTGAACAGCGCATTCAAGTATCTTGCAGCTTACCCAGAAGCCCAAAAGAGGGCGCACGAGGAGATCTCCCGTGCCATTGGCGACGGCCGATCTCCAACCTTTGACGACGAGGACGATCTGCCATATATCCGGGCGATGGTGAAGGAGATCTTACGACTTAGGCCGGTCACAAACATGGGCTCCCCACATTATACCACCGAGGACATGACTTACCAGAACTACTTCATACCCAAGAATACCGTCGTTGCAATCTGTCAATATGCCGCCCATTACGACTCCAGATATCCTGAACCTGAAGCCTTCCGACCCGAGCGGTATCTTGACTACCCACTCAAGGCAGGGGCATATGCCGCGCACCCAGACCCCTACGCGCGAGATCATTTTAGCTTTGGCGCCGGTCGGCGTATCTGCCCGGGCATGCATTTGGCAGAAAACAGTATGTTCATCGTCCTCGCGAAGATTCTATGGGCCTTTGAGATCAGACCTGTGATAAGACCCGACGGCAAGGAAGAGAAAGTTGACGTGTCGGATCAAGCGTACGAACAAGGTATCAATACGCTGCCGAAGCCTTATCGCATGCGCTTCTTGTCACGAAGTCTAGCGCGGGAGGCGAAGATGCTTCAAGAGTGGAAGGAGGCTGAGTCCACGGGCTACTATCTTGGGAATATCAGGGTGGATGCGACGGGCATGGTCCTGTCTGCATAGAGAAGTTCAATTAGGATGTGTGAGGCACAAATCATCTCGTTTGTGTTGATGTTGAGTGTACACCAACGCCGCTTGTACCGTGGGCGTTTATAACCGCCGAGCTTTTCATTCGCTTCCATATAGAAACTTCGAAAAGAGTCAGTCCGGCGGCTCGAGTCAGTCATTCACCTATCAATGCTGGAGACAAGTTTACTATCATATTGGTGGTAATTCTGCTTTGACATTTCAAGACTCGCTCAGGGACGATCACAACCCAACAACACTGTTTCGCCGTGCGAAGCAAGCCACGTTCCACAGCCTAGCAATGGTCTATAAGCACAGCATCCGAACATGAGAACTCTTGAATTGGAGAGTGAGCTTTGCAATCTTCATTGTTACGTATATCGCACTATCTCACCTCGCATTGTGTTCAAGACGGAGCATTGCACGGTTGTCATGATGCTTGGGACGTTTTCCTTTCATCATTTGCATCTCATGATCATGCTATTAGTCAACCACCTAGGACCGGGAACTCCCACCTACGCCGTTCAGCGCTTGTACAGCTTGGAAATATCTAAATTGATCCAGCATTGTACTTGCCATAAGGTGGATGCGTTGATGCTCAACGCTGTGGGAAAGCACGAGGACTTGCAAGAAGCAAATTTCTTTATATCGGTTTAACACCGTAGTAGCAGAATGTTGAACGATATCTTTAACTCTTTCGATGAATTTCGAAGAAGGTTATGCAAACCACAAAAGGGTCCGCTGGCGACCGAGCAAATGAGTCTCCAGAGTCGGCTGACAATTTATTGTGACCGAACGAAGCAATTGATTTTAAGCTAACTGAACACAACTTCAACCAAAGCATATCAGTCATTCCGCATCGCTTATCAGACTTTCTGTGCCGCCGACGATGCAGGGGTAAAGTGTTGCGAGAAATCACACTTGAGAATATTCACGCCCTAAAGCTGGGTTAGCCGATTCGTTGCTCATTGCAGATTTGGCGTCCAAAATAGCCGAAGACTCCATTGGACGTAGCTTACCGTATTGAGCTGCCTCGCCAGATCGTTGTCTGATCCGGCCTTTAGGCAAAGCTTGAAGAACTCATTGTTCTCTGTAGCTTTCTCCGGATCGTTCTCAAACAGTCGTCGAAAGTTGCCACTAGATATCGGGTCCACGACCGTCTCGTATTTTTCCATCCGCTTCTCCGAATAGATGTCCAGGATTTCTTCGCCAGCTTTGCCATGGTGAATGGCGAGCAAGCAGTCACACAGGCCGCCAACGTCAACAATACCACTCGTCAAGCCCATTCCACCGCTGGTAGTCGACAAGCATCAGAATGATTCTGCCAAGCGGATCATATACTGGATTAGCACGGAAACTTACAAAGGATTGCACAAGTGCGCGGCATCTGCAGCCAGTAGGAATCTTCCAACACGCATCCTGTGAGCCAGGCGCTGGTGGACTTTGTACGGGCTGATGTTAGCCAACTTGTATAGATCTGGGTCTGGATGACCGGGTAGGATCTCCTTGAATCTCATGGGTTGTCTCGCTATGAGCTCTTCCCGCGTAAGACCAGTGATGTCCCCGTAGGTCACTCGCCAGAGGCCGTCGTTGGAAATCTTCGCGGCCATAAACCAATTGTCCGGATCAACGATAAAGTTGGAGTCGTCCTACCCAAATTTCTTGAAGTTATAGTAGGTCTATTAAACCATCATGTTAACGAAACTGATCACAGCCGGAATGGTGACAATAATACTCACGTTCGTGGCAACAACCTGTTTGTCCCATGTGAAGCCTGGGAATTCCCAGTCGCCGAAAAGGCTTCGCCTGATTTTGCTGTTGGCGCCTTCACAGCCGATGATATACTGCGCTGCAAACCGCCTCTCTCCGCCCTTGGTTTTCTTTTCACATCCACCCAGGCTTTTTTCCCATCTTGCCCTATGTCCACAACTTCGTGGTCGAACAGGATCTCGACTTTACTCCGTTGATCAAGATGGCGCTTCAATATCATTACCAACTTGTCCAAGGGAAGGCAAACCATCCTGTCCGGTGCGTCTCCAAGGACATCGGCATTCAATGATGCTATCTTTTCACCGTTGATCTTCCTCCAGCTTACGCCATGAGGTTGAAATCCTTCGGCCTTGACATCGTCGATGACGCCGGCACGTATCAACTCTGTTACCGCCGGCGCTGCATAATGTGTTGCGCGAGTATTTGTATCCAGGCTTTGGCCCATGTCCATCAGAGTGACAGGTAGGCCATTTTTAGACAGGATCAGACCTGCTAGGAGGCCTGCTGGTCCTACCCCGACAACGATAATCTGTTTTGTGTTCGGTCAGTAGCAAGCTCAGCAGATTCAATTTTTGTCTCTGGCACTGACATTCTTGATGGCGCTGACGTTGTCAAGTGAATCCATGACGGAAGGTAACGGACCAGGGGACGTGAATCTGTACGCAACGATTGCAGCAGTTGTATATTTTTTTTGTGGCTAGCGTCGAGACTGACAAGACAAGCATTTGCTGTTTCTAAAATTTGAGACGCATGTCATCTCTGCCGATTACAGGCATGCGGGTTTAGCGAAATATAGCATGCTACCTTTCGAAAGCTGTCTGCGGGGACAATTACACGATGTGGGGGATTCTCGGGGTAGTTCCTGCTTATTGGATGACTCAGGTTAAATTGATGTGAACTCTGATTTCTATAGACGTCTAGCTAGTTGTATATATACTAGGGGAAGGAAGGGGGGCCACCCCTGGGTGGCGCGCTAGTAAGTTCAGCTGAACACTGCACAGCTGAGTTTTCAGCTGGGCTCTCCACAGCTGAGATCTCAGCTGTGTTCTCTACAGCTGATGTTCGGAGTAGCTTTCTAGCATATGAGTTGTTGATCCTAGGTTGTAGTGCTGCAACCTGAGTGGATGCTTGACCCCTATCCAACTCCACGAACGTGTTCCATCCAGCCGGTGAACTGCGATAATGGTATGCTTGGAGAATTTGCAGCAGCAAATATTTGGAATGATGTTATGGTTTGTTTGATATACCCACATGGGCCATATCAGACGGCCTTGGGAAACTTCCATTTCTGTCAAAGATTCAGGTCGCAAGAAGAGCTATATGCACACGAGAAGCACCTATAATAGCCAGTGAGAGCTTCTATGGCACTACAGAGAGAGCAACGAGCCGTTTGAGATTATGTAGTCTGCTCTAGGGCTACATTCAGGAGTTTGCCGGTGTCAAAACGTGGGCGCCATTGCTAGGGCGCAGCATTCCTGTCACTTGATACATGAAAGTACGTCAACTACTAAATTCTACGATATAGTTACATATGAAGGGTACGGTGTATCTTCTGACAAGTCGCCGTATGCGCTCCAATGCCTGCCGACACGTGTCTGCTCCTCAGCTTCATCTGCAATGGCAATGGCTAGATCCGCAGCAGTAATACCATGCAGCCGGCCCTCCAGGTCTGACGGGTCATCTTTGGCCGCAGATTTAAGAGGTATTTCATCAAAGATAACCTCATACCTGCCGCTTCGCGGCCCAGGGCGATACAAAGCCGGGGGAGAGATGTATGTCCATCGGAAAGACGTGTTCCCATCAAAGAACATGAAGGATGTCCTGCAGGCCGTGACGAATACTAGTGCAGAATCGTTGCTCCTTGCTTTCTCTTCGTATGCAGCGATGATCGCGCGAGACTCCTCTGTTGCCTCGCCCTCCCTTTGCAGCTTGCGCGCGTTCCTGTAACCGCGCAGTGAGAATCCCATTGAGCCTAAACGGTCCTCCATGTACGAGACATGCGCTTCGCTGTCAGCTATTCCGCGCCTATATGCGAGCCACCACTCGTTGCTCTCGCACACGCTCTGAAATGGCTTGTCAGGCATGTGGAGGCTTCCGCAACCCCCAACCATGATGAAGTAGTTCACTTTGGAAGATTTGGCCGCGAGCACGATCTTTCGAGTAAGCTCGAGGAAGGGCTCTGATGGAGGTGCTTATTAGTTCCCAGAACGCGTTGCAAGAATTTCTCGCGGATGAGGACTCACGGTATTGCAAAGCACCCTCTCCTGCAGTATGAGGCCCATACTCGTTGACAAGGACCTCGAGGCCTTTGAACGCCTCAGCAAGCTCCTGGATACTGGCTTTGGTAACATCGATACTTCTAGGCTCGTAGCTGGGGTTCTTGCCTAGCTTCGACGGAAAGCGCGAAATGCCCACAATCTTGTGCCCTCTGTTGAGCAGCTCGACGCAGAGATAACTGCCGCCAAAGCCGGCCGGACCAATGATGCCAATGTTCAAACTCTTTCTCGAGGGCATATTCGCTTAACTGTGTCAGCACAATATTACTTTCAGTGTCTGCCGAGTCGTGATTTCAAAGTGAGCCTGGTGTTAGGAAACATTTAGGTACCTGCCACAAAAGATATAGGCCGAGCACGCGAGCGTGAAAAACTCGAGTTCCAAAGTTGTGGGAATTGGTCCACCGAGCACCGGGCGAAGCGGTGATGCATGCTCCGAACGTGGGTCCCCAAAGCCGAGCCCCACATGTTTCTTTGCAGATCCCCACCTACTGTATTGGGGTAGGTTCTAGAATGAGAATACTCCACTCCACATGCGGGGAACGAAGCGCAGTTTGTGGGGTAGGAACGCATAATGGTCGCGGAGTAGTGGCTGACCCCACCACGTAGGTCACTATGCACGTAAGATACTTGCAAGCTTGAACAATCTCTCTAAGACGCGCGTGCCATCCTCGATACTTCTCCATCACTGTGAGTGCTATGTGCGCTCAAACCGACAGTGATTAGCGACCCCATCAAGGCGCCTCCCCAGCACGTACAGCTCGCAAAAATTGTTCTCGGTTTGTAGTTGGAAGGACGGACATGAGCACCTCGTCACTGCCCTGTCGCAACCATTCGACATCGTGTGCCATAGCAATATGCATTCCATGCCCGTCTTCAGCCTCTCGCAATCGCCGTATAGTGTCCTCGGCTGCGTTCACATCTTCGTGTAAGCATGCTTTACCCCCCGGGATATCGAAAAAAGCGAAGTCTGCTTGTCCATTCAGTAGCTGCCTAAAAACAGCTTTGGTAAGCACAGTTCATGAGCAGAGGCCCGCGTGGCAAGTACCTTGAATGACAGCAGTCGCTCGCCAGGAGGATCCAAGAGGACGCACTCCCATTCAAACTCAAGCGTGCTGCAGCAGCGAGATTTCCAGGCATATGACCGGGTGCGTCTATGATCATGAATGAACCGTCTCCGAAAAAGTCTAAAGCTCTCTCGAATGGTCCGAATTGCTTCCATTCACCTGTGATCTCTGCCCAGTTTTCTGAAGCATACCCATCGCTATCGAAGAACCTCCCATCCCAGAGACTCTTGCTCGTCGCGACTCCGTCGTCTAGATGTCCAGGCGAACAGTGTGTCTTGGTACCTCCTCCAAAAAGTCCTTTGGCTTTGGGGAACTCTTCTTGGATAGGCCGGCAATGATCCCAATGTGCATGACTATATCACTAGTCAGCGGACAGGGTAGTTAAGATGAGTGATGCGCTGTGTACCTGAAAATCACAGTGTCTATCTGTCCATAGCTGCTGTCCAGTGCTTCGAGCTGCTCATGTAGGGTCTTTTGAGGGCCGACGGGATTCGCGCTTTCCCATTGTACGTCCAGTACCATAGGCGTATAAGCTGATCGATCCTACTCCGTTAGCCGTCAGTCTAGGACAATAGCCTCAAGCTGCTGTGAGGCCGCTGACCGAGCTGATGCCAACATCCCAAAGAATGTGACGGCCAGAACCTGGATGAAAGACATGGAAACACCAGTCGTATAGACGGAACAAGTTTGGCTCCGCGTTCGCGTGTAATTTAGACATATCTGCTGTTGAGAAACTGCCGCCGTCCAAGAGATTAACGCGTACCGTTGCCGATTCGTCTACGAGGCCAGACTCAGGACACGAAGATGGCATTGTGAGATAATGGCAATGCAAATTGAGAGTTGATACGCAAAATTTCTGCATGTAAGCAGGAATGGGTGAAGAAGTACAGGCGATGCTGACAAATTTGAGGATGTGGGGGTGTCCCTGGGGACGCTGTTTATGAGTGGGCCAGGCGTTAATACTGGACCCCCGGCTTCGAGGATCGCGGGCTTGAGCTCTGACTATAGTTTTGAATATATGACCTTATTCCGCTCCGGTAACGTTTCAGCACACATTTCAATCATTTGGTGCTTCTACGTGACCCATATAATTCTCAAGACGCGAAGATGGAGCAGAACATCGGCTTTATAGGTAATAGCCTCTGGCACTTGCACAGCCTGGATGAATCGGACTAATATGGTCAAAGGACTCGGAGCTATGGGTTATCCAATGGCTAAGAACATAAGGACCAAGATGAGCCGGCAATCGAATCTATGGGTTTATGACGTACAGAGAGAGGTCTGCGAAAGATTTGCGCAAGAATTCAAAGATTCCGGGCCGATATCGATCGCGAACTCAGCAAAAGAAGTCGCCCAGAACGCCTTGACAATCGCCACGATTGTACCTACAGGCCACCATGTCCGTCAAGTCTATCTAGGCGAATTGAGTGGCGTGACAGCCGCGAAAGGATTGCCACATGACAAGGAACGACTGTATCTGGAGTGCAGCACCATTGATATGGCGACGGCTAGGGATGTTGGGCAGAAGCTCGAGGGAATGGGCATGGGTCGTTATGTTGACTGTCCAGTATCCGTACGTCTGTGCCTCTCAGATGCTTGAATATAATCTTATGATCATTCTCTCGCAGGGCGGCGTGCCGGCTGCACATTCTGGAACCTTGTCGATGCTGGTAGGAGCCTCGAAACCCACACCTGGAGAAGCAGAACGAGGCGTAAGTAAGCGGTTGCAAGATTTACTGCTATGGATGGGCGATGCGAAGAAGCACTTCTACTGCGGCGATCTTGGCTCAGGCCTGGCTGCGAAGATATGCAACAACTATCTGTCATGTACAATCCTACTGGCTAACGCCGAAGCCATGGCGACTGGCGTCAAGCTTGGTCTAGACCCGAAAATTTTGTATCAGGTCATTGCAAACTCCACGGGACAGAATTTCATGTGCGATCACGTCTGCCCCGTTCCCGGCGTGGTCCCTCATGCCCCGAGCAGCAACGGCTACAAACTGGGATTCAAGGCGCAGATGCTGTCCAAAGATGTTGGGCTAGGGATTGAGGCTGCGAACAGTGTTAACATCAAACCCTCTATTGGCGAAGCTGCTATAGCCGTGTTTGATCAGGTTGGCAAGGACGAGCGATGTATCGTAAGTTTTGTTTGTTCACGGTAGCGCTGGAGCCGCTTCTGATGTTTTCTAGGACCACGACGCATCTGTGGTATATCGCTTTCTTGGGGGACCAGAATAGGCTATATCAGTACTAAATATTGGATCAGTTGAGCTCAATGCGATGCAAGTGACTTAGTGGAACATGAAGCTGCATTTCGGAGAGACCAAAACTGCGCGCCTGGCTAGCTTCAAGATCATGGGCTCAATCTAGGTACCCGCTGCATGCTATTGCATTCAGCAATGGCACTAAGCGGAGGAAGGACTCTAGCAAACAATGAACGCTCGAGAAGCAGCTTGTGAATCAGAGTGTTTTGCAGAATCTGCCTTGATGCTGTATTGGCCATAACGTAAGGTAGAGAACCATGCCGGCGTAGTGGTCCATCCCGGCATGTGGGGAGACTTGGTCTTCTCCCCCATCCGTGCATGTCCAGCTAGTCCCCTCTACCCCACATGGTGATAAGTGTGCAGGGAGTAGGTTGGATAGTACAAGACATGACCCATATCACCCAGCAGAGCGGGCCCTTGTATAAGTGCACAGAACACTGGTCCAATACTGGTCGTGCTTCATCTTTCAAAACCTCATTGACCAGCACAATCCTTTATCCGGTCTCGGTTCATTCGTTAGGTAGCCCTTCAACATGAAGCTCAGTCCTTTAGAAGACCACTCGGCCCTATTCCAGGTTCCTGGGACCATCGTGCTGTCAGACGCGACCGAAACCGACCGCCTTGACCTTAAGCGAAACCCAAAAGGCGACATCATCCTCAGCCCACAGCCTTCAGAAGACCCCAATGATCCCCTCAACTGGCCGACATACAAGAAATTAACCGTCGTCATCATTCTGATGTTTGGTTCCTGCGTTTGCGCTTCCACCATCGGTCCCCTGCTCAGCGCCAGCTTGTTCGTTCTCTCCGAAGACCTGCACCGACCCCTCTCGGACATTACGTTGACCACAGGCTACACGCTTCTGGCCTCAGGATGCGCTGGGCCCTTGGTCTCATCGATTGCCCGCAAGCTCGGCAAACGCCCGGCATTCATATTTTGTTCTTTCATGGGCTTGCTGGGCTCTATCATCGGAGCCGTTAGTGCTTCATACAACGGCCTGCTCGCCGCACGTGTTGTGCAGGGTTTCGCAACCTGTGCTTACGAGTCCCTCGTCATCAGTGTTGTTGGCGACATCTTCTTTGTCCATCAACGCGGATTGTATTCCTCCTTCATGATATTCACCCTCAATTGCGTCTCCAACATGAGCCCCATCGTCTGCGGGCCGATCACGAATAATCTTGGATGGCGATGGCTGTTTATTCTTCTTGCAATCATTATTGGCGTCCAACTGGCCCTCTGCTTCTTATTCGTGCCCGAAACGACCTACCGGAGAGATCCGCGCTACAACACCGACGAGACTGCGAATACGAACCTTGAAGAACTAACAAAGATCGAGCATCAACACAATGAAGTCCTCGATGAACCGATAGCGGACCGGGATAAATCCGTCAGGGAAGTCACGGGAATTCCAATTCCAAAGAAGAAGACGTGGCTCCAAGAACTGAAGGTCTACAATGGCATCATGAGCGACGAAAGCATCTTAGCTATGTTTGCTGCTCCTTTCCTCTCCTGCACGAATCTCGCGGTCTTCTGGATGGTCATTGTGTCCGGAGGGGTGACATCGTTCTACGTCGCCGCCTCGTATGTGGTTGCCCAGATCTTTTCGCCACCACCGTACCTCCTCAACGCGTCCCAAGTTGGCTACACCTTTCTCGGACCGTTTATAGGCGGAATTCTGGGAACATTGGCGGTAGGAGCCATCAGCGACTCGATTGCGCTTTGGCTCACGAAGCGAAATAAGGGCATTTACGAACCCGAGTTCCGTCTGGTCCCGATCTTGCTAGGTCTGGCCGCTGGAGCCGGCTTCATAGGGTTCGGCTATGTCACGTCCATGAGCGGCAGCGTCTACACTGCAAGCTTCCTCTGGGGTCTTTCCATCTTCGGAGTCACGTTTGTCGTGGTCCCCTCGTCCGCCTACATTATCGACGCGTTCCGTGACCTTAGTCATGAAGCTTTCATCGCCGCGATGATGTTCAAGAACTTCATTTTCTACGGATATTCCACCTTCATGAACGACTGGACTGCTTCTGCTGGACCCCATGCAGCGTTTTATACTTTCGGCGGAGCCACGTTCGCGCTCGTGCTGACTACTGTTATAGTCTACATCTGGGGGAAGCGCTATCGAAGCTTCTGGCACCGCCACAATATGTTCGAGAAGCTTCATATTCGCTCACAAGTAGAGATGTAGTTCCGCGCTTGCAGATGCGCTGCCAGCGCCATTGAGTTAGTAAATAAGTTATTGATGACATGTCGTGTGTATTGTAAGGTTTAACAGTCTATATAGTAGGCAATTGAAGTTGTTGCAGCATCACTCTTAGCTAGTAGACATAGAGAACCATAACTCGCTCAGTGACGCGTGGCCTTTACGGCTTCACGGTTGACCAAAGCATTTGTGTATGGGGCCTTGGGGTTGAGCGTCTTAAGAGGAGAGAAGCGAGACAGATCGTACCGATCAGAATTCCACAGTGAGAATCAATCCTCTGCTCGAGGCGTTCATCCCAAGAATCTGTAGCCTGGTGTTAGTTTGAAGCAGGGTACTAGAATGAAGAGCATTGAAAAAAATTGGAATTCTCTGCAATTGCAAGAAGAGTGCAGACGCGTTGACCATTTCGTCGAGATCTATCAAGGTTCTTCCCAAGTCTCTACATGTATGGTGCCTTTGGCGTCTTGGCCTTAGCTGCGTTCCAAAACAATCACCAGAATTCAACTATCACCAGCTTCGTAGTTTTTACGACACACCCATGAAACAATCCTCGTGCCCTCTTCGTGTAGGCAACGCGCTCCTAATTTCATGATGCAGACACAACTGAGCCTGAACGGGGTGTCAAGGATGAAACGCTACTGTGCACCCGGCAAATGTAGTGGAATGGTCGGCAGTACGGGGTGGCCGGCACCAAGGGGGTGGCCAGATCCAGGTACGTCAACTCAGTGCTGATTCACCGGCCCATGATTTGTCTGTCCTTACCGGGTCTGTGCTTAGTGCCGAGGGGACCCCGCATTTTGAACATGAATCCTTTCCCTCGCCCAGATTGTCGCAACCTAGCTCTTGACAATCCATCACCCGACGAAGGCTGCGAACTGCCCGAGATCTCGTCGAACATGCTGCAGACGTCTGTTATTTCCTTTCCGGTACATAACGGGCCTCTGGACAGCGAGGGAGCCACTAACAATACCATCGCCAATCAATCCAGGCCGACACACGCCTTCAAGTGCTCGCAATGTCCCAAGGTCTTCAAAAGAAGCGAACACTGCTCTCGCCACGAGCTCTCACATACAAATGAAAGACCATTTGCTTGTCAGTTCTGCAACAGGTCTTATGCTCGCAAGTATGTCTCCACTGCAAGTTTCAGTCAGGCTCAGTATAGTTGATTTTATTGCCTTCTTGAAGAGATCTCGTCAAAAGGCATGAAAGGACCATCCACGCCGACGAGTACAACGCCCTGGTCAATCCCAGCGATCCCAAACAGAAACAAGGCGACGGCAATGCCAATACTTCTGCTGGAGATCGCGATGTTATTCACCTTCACACCAGTAGTTCTGATCAATCAGACCGAGATGCGGCCAATGCAAGGGACTTCGCCATATCAGATGAAGAGACTCTAGCGACTCACAATGAGACGCCGACCATATCGAGCAGAGCCACCTTTTCCGGCGACCCCAATACAATCACAATTGGCTCGAGTACGTCGGCGTCACGTTCGTCCTCAGTATCTTCCTTCTTGCCCTCCGCCGACGCTGCCGCGCTGAATAATACGACAACCAAATCGCCAGAGAAACGCCGTCGCACCTCAAGATCCTCAGGAAATGCACGGATCCATGGACGGTTTTCGCCCATCCAGTCGCGATCGCCCATACCGGACTCTCAGCATGTCCACTTTAACATCAGCGACTTGCTAGTCCCGTCACCGTTTGGACCATCTTCAAGCTGGGAGAATCAGGTCGATTACTTTGAAGCCGAACAAGGTCGCAACAAGCGCCAACGACTGTCTGAGGACGCTCTATCACTGCAACCTGTCCAAAATGACGAGACTTTCCCATTGCCCACACCGGCAACATTGTCATCAGACGATGCACAGAACATGTTCCGTTCACTCGATTTCATGGACGTTGATATGGAGATCGGAGGAGTCAGTAATGAGTTTTTCTTCTATCAAATTACACAGCAGCAGGATCCATCCTTGAACGCATGCGAGAATGTGGGCAACCTCATTGACACCTCGGATGCCTCCAATTTCGGACTGCCAAAACCCACGACTGGCTCGCCTTCGGGACAGTCCTCGGACTCTGTCAGCGACACTGGAACCGAAAGAATCGATCGAGTACGCCTGCCAATGATTTTGAAGGAGAAATCGGAAAACCCGCCTAGACTGGCAGTTGACGACGCTGCGTTTCAATCAGTCTGTGCTGATGCCTATCAACGGCTAGAGATCAGCGAGCTTCAACTCCCTTTCAAAAGCCGCCGAGAGCTGCAGCATTTGTTGAATGGCTATCTTGATTGCTTCCACCGACATTTGCCCATCATTCATCTGCCTTCGCTCCTGGTGTCGGAAGCGCCTAGTCCTCTCATTTTTGCCATGTGTTGCATTGGAGCACTATACCGACTTGATCGACAGAAAGCTCGGAAGCTATATGTAATGAGTGCCAGTATCTTGAAAACGGAGCTTGCAAAGCATACTTACCCATCTCCGGCCACATCGAATTATAACATGTCCGCCGGAGATCAGGAAGCAAATCAAATGGTGGAACTACGGCCCTTGTGGTTCATGCAGGCGCGCACTCTTCTGCTGCTATATGCTGCGCTTGGCAACGACAGTGCGATAATGAAGACGGAGCTTGACGGGCTGGGGGTATTTACGACTGTGAGTGCCCTGATATCTTGTTAATGAACCGAGCTAACAACCAAGGACTATCGATCTCGACGATCTGCCCTTCTGACCAAGAGTCGCCAGCACGCAGAGCTTCGATGGCCGGAGTGGATTCAAATCGAATCGACTAAAAGATTTCTGTGCGCTATGTTCATTTGCAGCAGCCTTCTCGTGCTTGTCTATGGTCTCCCCCCCGGTCTCAGCATTACACAGGACCTTGAGATTGAGTTACTCGAAGAGGAAAAGCTATGGAGTGCTTCAACAGCTGAAGAGTGGCGAGCCATGCGAGACCCTGAAATATCAGCACCAACAAGGACCATACGAGACGTGATGGGAGATATGCTGGCAGGCATGACCAACGATAGCAACGAATATTCACCGTACTACGTCTCGGGATTTACGACACTCGTCATAACACATGCGGTCAACGTGTACGCTTGGAACCTAAGCCAGTTCACCCACTTGCACATTTCTCCGTTCTCAGATCTATCGGGTGTCGCGCCAAATACATTGCTCTCGAACGCCTTGACAACGCTCGCAAGATGTCGCGAAGTCTTGCAACTTGCTAAACCAGAAGGCATCGAGTCCCTGTGGCACAACCCCGAAGGGCCGCTACTTCTGAACTGCGAAGCCATGCTACGTGTCGCTTATACGCGGCTATTCCTTAATGCGAGTATGCCTGATGGCATCGTGCTTCTCCTCAACAGTCCAGAAGAGAACGTTAGATTGTTGACGCGGTTTGTTGCTGCTAGACAAGAGCGAAGTCCTCTCATTACTAAAGCAATGGCAAGCATGTGTGAAGCATTCTCTGTGCCGTCAAAAGCGGGCTATCTGCTTGTGCAGAAGACGGCAGCGATTAGTTGGAGCGTCGAGCATGCTGTTGCAGGCTGGGGCTGCGGTAGGTTTTCCTTGAGACGGCTCATATCGCATTTACTGACGACTTCTTCCAAGTCCTGCTGCTCTCGAAATGGATACACTGTCTCGAGACGCAATTAAGCGAGGATCCCATTACCGATGCAGAAGGCGAGATCATCTCCCAAGTCAAAGCAGCGCTTGAGGGAATGGACATCGAGTACAGCGAGAACGGTTCACTTGCAGCTGCCGTTGTGAAGAGCTGGGCTCCATTAATGACCGATGTATGTCGCGCTGTTTATTTCGTGTGGTGTTTATCCAGCTAATACGATTTCAGGTTTGGGTTTGGGGAATCACTACGAAGATGGGCCGCCTTCTAATGGATCTTGCAAAGGTCTATGAAGCTAGCTCAAGGAAAGCTAGGAGCCTCCGGGAAAGGACTTAAGAAATTAGGTTTCGCTGATAGGATCTAGACTGGGCTCGGACGAGCTTAGAATTTATTAAGGACTATTTATCTGCATATTTAAGGTTAACCCATTATTATTGCACTATAAATAGCCCCGGCGGGTGTAAAGGCCAAATATTATGCCCGTATTATAACCTATATCGCGATATATTCCTGTTATATATAATAAGGCGCTTAAAGCAGACTTATAGGTCGGATAGAAGGCTACTATTTTTACGCAAATATAACCTTAGAATAATATTCTTATCTAGAGAATATATTTAAGCCTAATTTTAGGGGGTTAGTACTAGTACACCCCCTTTTTATAGCTATACACCCCCCTTTTTAGTACACGCATACCCTCTATTTTATCTAATCTTCTAATTAGCTAAAGCAGCTTAGAGCTTTATCTAGAGCTCTATTCTTACGTGTATTTATATATATAGCCTTTATTATTTACTTAGGCGTATATAAGCTTATATATAAGGCCGTTTATAAAGCTGTATAAATTAAAAAAAATAAGCTGTAAAATAGAAAGGCTGTATAGCTTTTCTATTTTATATAGCTTTATATATAGCTTTATATATAGCTTTATATATAAGCTTATATATAAGCTTATATAGTCTAAGTCTAAGTTTAGGTCTAAGTATAGAATAGAATTCTATTCTAGAAATACCTATATACCTAGTAGTATACTAAACCTATTAAAACTTTACCTTATTATAGCTTCTTTATATTAAGCCTAGCCCTATAGTATTGCCGCCTATACCTACTTTTTACCCTAATTAATATACCTCTTAACTTTCTTATTATATACTATAAGCTAATATAAAACCTTTTTTTAGCTAAGCCTCTATACTTAAAAATAAGGCTAAGGATAAGGTATAGGCTAAGGCGTAGGCTAAGGCGTAGGCTAAGTACTATTTTTCTTTTAAAGTGCTTTTTTCTGCAGTACCTTATTCTTTATACTAGGCAGCCGGCCGCGCTTTTTAGCTATAGGTACTACTATATACGCTGCTATATATACTGCTATATATACTGCTATATATACTACTATAGGTGCTACTATAAGTACTGCTATAGATATAGCTATAGGCCTAAAAAAAGCTAGATTAACTAGTATAGCTATTAACTAATAGGTATTCTAAGTAATAGGAGCTAGATAAAAAACTATAGAAATAGGCGGTGCTAGTAGTAGAGCTATTACTATACGTTCTAGAGGTATATTTATATATCTACTATATTTAGTTTACTATAGTATTTTACTAGGCTATAGCCTAGCGCTAATATATACGCTTTTTTTATTATAGTATAGTACGCTAGCTATAGCAGCTAGAGGGCTATAGTAAGTGTATTATAGAGGGAAAGTATTAAATAATAATATATAGTAATAGAAAAAAGCTGTTTAGTATAATAGTTAGTAGAAGTTCTACTTATTAAAAAAAAATAAACCGCTTACCCTTTTTATAGGGGCAGGGAGGCGCTCTTATCCTGCAGTTACCTAGAACTTTTAAATACTAGCTAATCTAAACTAACCTAGTCTATACTATACTAGCAGGGCCTATAACTAATATTACTAAAGCAGCTTTACTTATAGGGCTTTACCTTAAAAGCTATTATAATAGTATTTTTTTTCTTTTAAGAACTATTTTTAGTTCTATAGAAAATATATAGGTGGCCTAAATAGGCGGTAAAAAATTAGAAGTATAGGGAATTAGGGAAGTATTAGCTAATTAGAGTGCGCTAAGCGCTAAGTTATCTACTAGTATAGAATCGATATATTTTATAACTAAGCTTTTTTCTTTTTTATTACTTTTATACTCTTTTTCTTTATTCTAAAGGTTTTTTATATTTACTTACTATTTAATCCTGCTTACCTATAGGCTTATTTAAACTAATTTAGATACTTTTAGACTAGTTTACTAAAATCCTTTTAATAGCTTTCTAAGGTTCTTTTAATTTACTTACTATTAGATTATTATAATAGGTCGTCTCTTCTATACCTTCTAAGTATTATATACTAAGGCAGGGTATAGGTTAAGTTGTTATTAGGGTGTAATAGTCTTTAAAAGGTAAGGTAAAATCAATTTTAGGTATAAAACGGGGTTATTACTTCTAATAGGTAGTATTAAAGTCTTAAGTTAAATATAAAGTTCCTATTTATAAAAAGGAGCGTTTTTATATATAAAAGCTCTGTTTTAAGAAATCTATAGCTTAGTTTAGATTATTATACTCGGTTACTAATCTTCTAGTTCCTATATTTACAACCTAGCTCTTAAAAATTACTTTTTAATTTTTCCGATCCTTCTAATCTATTATATAGATCTTTTATCCTGTGATTTCTATTCCTATATCGTTCCTATTTATTAGCAGTCTGTAGGGGAATCTAGGATACTAATATATTCTACACGTAACTTTTTTAGTTCTATAACCTAGTCCTATATTACTATCCTAATTTATCTGCTTATTTCTATAAGTGCCTCTGCGCTTAGGTGGTTAGTACTATAGGTTATAATACTTGCTTCCCCTTTTAAGGCTTTTAGCCCGAAAGTATCTCTATAGTAGGGTCTTGGATAAATAGCTAGCAATACCCTATCTGCTAGGCTGTTATTATACTTTTCTATTTCTTCTTTTACTATACCTAAGGTTCCGAAATCTAAGAAGTTTCTATAATATAACCTCCTGTCTAATTGCTCTATAAAGCTCGGAATTAAAATACTATTCTATTCCTATTATTCTGCTAATAGCCTGCTTTATAAGGTTCTTAAGGGCAATACTTAGTATAGAAAATATATAAAGGTTAGTAGTATATATAATATCTTTAGTATTAGTGCTTCTATTTATAGGTACCTTATTCTATTCTATAGATTTTTTCTAACTTATTAGTATTAAAGCTGGACTATAATATTTATTATCTTAAAAAAAAGGAGAAGGCTGCAGCTAAAGCAGCGCGTAAGCTTCTAGCTAAGTTCTTTTAACTGCAAAAGCAGAAATATCTGCTAACTAAGCGTTATTTTAAAATGCTTTATTATAGGTTTTCTAATCTAGAAGAAATAGAAAAGGAAGATTAGGAAGAGGCCGCGTAGAAAGAATAAGAGCGTGCCGAGCAGGAAGCTTTGCTTCTTGCCTCGGGGTTTGTTATATACGTCCCTTTTTCTTAGGGTATACTAAATACTGCTAGCCGTCCCCTTTACTGCTGTATATTCTAATTATAAAGCAGTAATAATCCGCCTTCGGGTTCCTTTAATCCTTCTTAGTTAGATAGTTTACTATTGCTGTTTTTTTAGGCTATTCCGAGTTCTGGCAGTAAAACTACTATAGGAGTTCCTAGCAGTTTGCTAAACTTTTAACTAGTTCCTATATATTTTTAGAGGTGCTATATCTTTTCTACTTAATTAGGTACTTTTTTTACTAACCGTGCCGTTAGGAATTTAGGATCTGCTTAACCTTATATTTATTATTATTATTAACCTTAATATCGTTTTCTAGTATAGTATTAGGTGGTGCGGGTTCTAGTAGTAATACGTGGAAAACCGGGTGTATTTTTATTCTATCGGGTAGCCTAAGCTTATAGTTTACTAGGCTAATAATATTCTATATTTTAAATAGTTTAATTTTAACATAATCTAACTTTATATTTAGTTATTTCGTTTTAATATTTTTGCAAAGTAGGTAGACTCTATCCCCCCTTCTAAAGGTTAGTGCAATACTCCGGTGTTAATTATAATATCTTGCTAACCTTAGCGTTAGGAATTAGATATCTATTAAAAGCTGCCTTTATAGCTCTTTAATATTTTTAACTAATAGTAGTGCCCTCTAGGCTCTTATACTATTAAGTTAAGGTTTTTAATACGCTTCTAGATTAAAACTATAGTTTATAAAAAAGGGTAATACCTTTATTATTTCTGTAAATGCGCTATTATAGGCAAATTGGGCTATTAGTAGTAATAATATCTAGTTGTCCTGCCTGTAATTAATATAGTATTATAGGTACTATTCTAAAGTCTAATTAAGCCTTTCCGTTTACCCGTCCGTTTAAAGGTAAAACGCTATAAAAAGCTTATACTTTATTCCTAGTTATATAGTAAAGGTCTACTAGAATTTTAATATAAAAAGCTTATTTTAGTCTAAAATTATTTTCTAGAGTAGCCCGTAGTTGCTAATAACGTACTTTAAGAACGCGTAGGCTAGATTTTCTACTATTAATACTTTTTAGTAAGGGATAAAGTAGGTATATTTAGTTAATCGGTCCGTAATTACTAATATTATATTATACTTTATACCTGTTATAGGTTTAATAGACTATAGTAGCTTAACTATAAAGTTCTATATAATAGATTTCTATACCTTTTCCGGTATAGAGGGACTCTTTATTAGCCCGTATAGTGCGTATTATACTGCCTTATTTTTAGTGCACTTGTATTTATATATAATTTTCTCTATTAGTTTCCGAAGTCCGGGGAAATAGAATATTCTTACGATTTTTTCCCTTATCTTTTCCACTCCCTAGTGCCTATACGCTGGTGTGCTGTAGAATTCCTTAATAAGCTCTTTTTATAAGGTCTTAGGTATAAATATCTTATTCTATAAGGTAATAATACTATTTTAGATTTTTTCTTACTTTTAATTTATAGGTTCTAGGCGCAAACTTTGCTAGTTATAACCTGCTAAATCCCGGCTTTCCTAGTTACCTTTCTATGCTGCCTTAATTTATTCCTTCTACTTACTATCCTTAGACTAATAAGCAGCTGCTGCTTACGCGTGGTTAAATTTAAGGGTTCCTGGACTTCTCTCCCTAAGTATAAATTACCTGGTTTTTCCGGCCCCTTCTATATAGTCCGGCCTTCGGCTTAGTATATCTATATAAGCGTTTTTAAATCCTTTTTAGTATATAATCCTAAAGTTAAAGGTTTCTAGTTTTTCTAACTATTTTACTTATTTTCTATTTAACTTCTTAGTTATAGTAAAGTATATTAGATTCTTATAGTCTATATATACCTATATTATATATACTGCTTCTTTAAGGTAAACTTTCTACTAACTAAATACTTCTACTATAGCTAGCAATTCCTTATTATAGATGTTGTAGTTTAGCTTAGCTAGGCTTAGCTTCCGTAAGTAGAACGCTATAGAGTGCAACTTCCCTTATTTATTTAGTTAGTTAAGTATTACTTCTAATACTTTATCTAATATATTACTTTTAATAGTAACTAGTTTCTATAGATTAAAGATTGCTAATACTAGTTTTA